CTTTCCCTCTTTATTCTCTCGATCTCTCTCTCCCGGTTCATAAGTATCTCGTCCAGATTCCTGCTCTTGTTTCCTGTGGTCTGACTCGTGTTATGTTTAACAGGCAAAGCCTCCTTTATCGTGGTATCAACAAAGTCCCGGACAACTCGAGAGGGCAAAGGTTTTTCTGGTTTTTTGTCTTGACGAGCAAACTTACCTTCGGTAATTCCTAGATCAGGGCACGCTCTGGATCTGTGATCACGACCAATTCCATCCTCGGCCATGTTTCTGACCCTGTCCTCTTCCGCTGCAGCTTTGGTATTTTCAACATTTTCCCCATTGAGATGGTAATCTCCTCCACCTTTGCCCAGTTCTGCATTCCTCTCGGATGACCCATCTTTTGTATTCGACTCTTCCAAGCCCTCTTTTCGACTAGCATCTTTCAGATTCTTCTCAAAATCTTTCCATGGACAAGCTTTTCCAGACATGTCCCTTGTCTCCTCCTGCGCAGATTCATCTTCTTCTGCAGGTACCTCGTTCGGTGTTTCATGGTTGTCTTCTTCCTCATCTTCTCGCGTAACTTCTCCAAGGTTCTCACAGGTTTTCTCCCTTTCACAATCTTCTCTTTGACTTCCATTGTTTCCGTCTCTCTCTATGGCCTCTTCCAGTTTTTCCTTAATGTCCTCTCTTGTACCATCATGTTGTTTCTCTTCATTTTCACTTTCCTCTCTTTCCTCGGCCTCTCTCTGTTTCCTCTTCATCTCGTCTTGTTCAAGAGCCTCTTTCAGTCTCCGATCAATCTCTGCCCTCTCGAGATCTTCTCTCAGCTTTCTTTCTGTCTCTTCCAGTTCAATAGCTTCTTTCAGCTTCTTCTCCTCTTGTTCCTTTTTCAACTTCCTTTCTTTCTCTGCTTGCTCAAGGGCCTCCTTCAATCTCCTCTCACTCTCTGCCTTCTCCATAGCCTCTTTTAATTGCCTTTCCTTCTGCTCTTGTTCAAGTGCTTCTTTCTGTCTCCTCTCCAGCTCGGCCCTCTCACGAGCCTCTTTTAGTTTCCGTTCACTCTCTTCCTTTTCACAGGCTTCTTTTATCCCCCGTTCTTTCTCCTCTTGAGCTAGTTTAAGTTTTCTTTCGTGCTCTGCCCTCTCACGAGCCTCTTTCATTCTCCGGTTTTTCTCTTCCTTTTCAAAAGCTTCTTTTTGTTGCCGCTCCTTCTCTTCTTCCTCTTTCATTCTCTTTTCTTGTTTTGCCTTCTCAATCTCCTTCATTCTCCGCTCATTCTCTTCTCTTTCACGTTCCTCTCTTAGTGTTCTTTCCTTCTCTTCTTGCTCCAAAGCTGCCTTCAATCTTTTCTCACTCTCTGCCTTCTCAAGAGCTTCTCTTACTCTTCTCTCATTCTCTTCTTTTTCACGAGCCGCCTTCATTTTATTTTCATTCTCTATGCGTTCCAAGGCCTCTTTCAACTTCTTCTCATTCTCATCCATCCCATTAGTAGCTCTCGGTTTCTTACCATCTTCTTTTGGCTCCAGGGGCACCGCTAACATGCTTTCGTTATCTGCTAGACCGAGAGCCTCCCTGAGCTTTCTTGCACTTTGTTCCCACTCAAACACATATTCATGTTTCCTTTCAACTGCTTTCTGAGGATGAGGTTTAATTCTGCCCAATTCCTTATTTTCTGTGCATTTATTATTAGTTTCTTCACAATGCAATTCTTTCTCTTTGTTTGCACACTTGTCAACTACGAGCACATTTCCTTCCCGTTCAGATCTTACCAGATTTTTGTGCTTCTCTGACCCACCATGATCAAGTAACTTGTTTTCGGCCTCGATGTGCAGCAGCACATTTCTTGAATTCTCCTCCATCGCCTCTTGAAGATCCTTTTCTGCAAGCTTCTCCTTCTCGTGACTCTCAAGGCCATATGCTACCTTTTTTGTTCCATAGTTCTTTGGCGATTTCTCAACTTCTTGTTTCCCCTTGTCTACTTTTGTTTCCCTTCCCTTTAGTTTCTCAATATCACCCTTAGCTGCCCATTTCTGCTTCTGCTCAGGCAACTCCGCATTGCGATGCAAACGAATATCGTTTCCACTACTACTCTCATCAGCATTTCTCGGTTTTTCTGTTCTCACGAGTTCAAAAAATTGTGTAGCCTCTTTCCATTCACCATTTCCATCAAATTTAGCAGACCCTTGCAGTGGAAGAGGCTTCTTCCCATGCTTGTCCTCTGTGGACTTTCTAGCCCCATTAATATTTTTCTCAGACTCGGGCGAACCAGCAGGGAACGCCATGTTATCGTGGCTAAATTTCCCCTCCTCACCCTTTGATTCATTTGCCGGGCTTGGCTTCAATGTTATCCGTGACCCATCCCTCTTCCTTTCCAAAATCTCCTTTGCACCTTTCAGTCTTGCCTGAGCGTTTCCAATCGCTTCCCTCAGAGCAGCTGAACTAGAATCAAGCTCCACATCAAAGAACCGAGGAGAATTATCATCTACAGAACCTTCTGACACAGTGGTTCTTGCATTAGAGGCCGAACTACTAGAATCCCTCTTTAATATAGGAGGCGGTCTTGAAGGAGGAGGTACTTCAGACGGCTGAGTCTTCAAATTAATATCTGAAACAGTCATAAATGTCTCACTAGGAAAAGCCGCCACTGTGCTGCGATGTTTTTGGATCCTCTCATCGTTTCCAAATGCAAATCCACTCGTATCTCCGCAGAAAAAGGACTCGGTTTTCTTATTGAGCTTTGTTGTTGGATAGGCATATGCCATTTCATCAACTGAAAAGGTGCAGCCAGAAATGACGCCTGGATCAGCTACATGCGTCACCCCATTGGACAGATTTGTGTAGCTCATCTGACCGGCTTTGTTATAAGAGATGTTGAACTCGGTGCTGCCTTCGATTGACTCGTATGAAGCTCTTCCATTGGAAAAGCAAGGGCTTTTGCTTGAATGCTCTGTCCCTGCCGATACAGATCCCGTTTCTTCAGGAGTCCTGCACGACAATATCCTACAAAGCTCAATCTTAAAAGTTTGAGAGTTTTTTTCTTCAAAAATTCACATTCTTCCCTCTCGCAATGCATCTCCTGTACCTCACTCATGTTTGCATCCATGCTATTAGGAATTGGCAACCAGATGATGGGTTCAGACAAAAAAAAGCCAAAGAAACGTTCTCGTAGAAAATACGAACAGAACTAAAAACCAGAGCAGTACTCTTTGTAACCCGCAGAGATACGCATAAGCATATCCATGGCAAAAAGCAGACAACAACAAAGTATTATTAACGAAGGACAAATAAAAACAAAAAAGTAATTCAAAAATTTCACTGTCTGAGAATTTTGAAAGCGATATTCTAAGGAATGAAGAAGAAGAGGCAAACGGGAAATACCAAGCTTCGTCGGAGGAATCTCCACCACCAACCTCAGACCGTTCCGCAAACAGTTCCTCGTACGATGGCGCGAAATCGAGGTCGTCAAACCCTCCAAAAACCTCACGGTAGTCAAAACCCGGGCTCCGGACGTCGAAGTAGACATCTCTGTCATCGACAAGTGGAAGATCGAGCACCGGAATCGAGGAGACGGCGGCGCGTGAGGCACCGTTGAAGCCGCCGAAGATCTCGCAGTAGTCCTCAAGACGAGGAGAGAGCGTCGGGGCTCCAAACCTCTGCGGACCTCCGAAAACCTCGTCGTACGCGGCGGTTGCCACCTTGCCGGAGCCGTAACCGAAGTTCGGGAGCGAGGGTACGGACCTGTTTGGATGCCGAGAATGAGAGAGATTTTCCATGAGAATCAACGATTCTAGGGTTTGGCAATCTTCTTCAAGCTCCCCCTCTCTCTCTCCCTCCGGCTCTCTTTTCTGGCTTCGGAGTCTAAAACAGAAGTCAGACGGGCGCGACGAGAAAGCGGAAATCAAAAAAGAAAGAAATGGCCGAAAAAAAGAAGCTTCGAAATGACGAAAAAGGGCCTCATTACTCATTCGCTTTAATTGACAAAATCATTCGGAATATTACGTGTCTATTCATGCGTCCTTACAAAATTAAAATAATATGGATGACAAAAAAAATAAACACTTACTCATTCAAATAATTATATAAAAATATTTATAAAAAAATAGACTAATAATATTTAAAGTATTATAACGTGACGTTTTGGATTAAAAGGATTTGTCATCATTTCTCTGGATATATATATATATATGTGTGTGTGACGCTAAGTTGTTACCGGTAGGCCACTCAATTTTTTCTTATATGAGAATTATTACTAATTATTAAAAACTCTGAAAACTGTCATGTTGGTGTTGTAAGTGTAACGGATGGCGTGGCGGCGACTATTTATTTATTTATTTATATGTACATTGTTTTTGCGTATTTCCGTATGTATTATTACATTTATTTCTGTATTCGTTCTTTCCAATAATACGATAACGGGTGCGTCCGGTAAACGGTTACCCACGCGGGAACTAAAAAGAAAGGGCAGAAAGGGAAATTCGCTCCATTTTTTTAATAGCCCGTCACCATTTTCTTAAATTGTTTTTTTCCGGAGACAAATAATTTGCGATGCAGAAAAAAAATCTTAAATCAGAATAATCCAAATTCTCATGTTTCAAGTATTTCGTATCCAGAAATAGACCACTCGAATATTTGAATCCGGTTTGGTTTGTTTATTTTAGAAATAAATTCAAATTAACCTTTGACAAAATAAATTCAAATTAAGTATTTAATCTTATTATATTCTACATAGGTCAAGGTCTAGTTAGATAGATAAACTAATAAATTTGAAAAATACGAATGGTTGCAAGGTGAATCGTTTATAACATCAAGAAAAAATTTCAAATTTACTACTAGTATATTTAAAAATAATAAATGAGCGTGGGATAGAAACAAAAAATAAAATAGAAAAAAGGTTAAAAGCATAATAAATGAAGAGAAAACGAGGAAAGTGGGTCCCACTGCCACGTAGGAAAACAGAAAAAAGAAGCATTCGTTGGTGAATAATTATCATTTTAGATTTTTTCACATTTTTTAAAAATTATTAAAAAAAGTCATATATATCCTGATTACATTAATATTTTATTGTGATTAAAATCAAAGGTAAATTTAAAAATTTTAAAAAAATATATCTAAAAAGTCTAAAGTGATATCTAATAAATAATAAAAAAAATTATCTACAACATCATCTATTCAGAAACTGAAAATAAGGGAGTATAAAAGACGTTATTATTTCGAAATTTAAATATAAAAAAAATAATATAATAATTTTGGGACAATTTGGCTAAGAGCGGATGATGGCTCGTGGTCCTAATCACGTAGAAGAGATCACACGTTCTTAACTTATATTTTAATTAATGGTGTGGAAGGCTAAGTTGTCTTGTTCTTTTAAATATTTAATACCCTTAACCTGCCACGATAACGATCTTGTATGTATGTATGTATGTATGTATGTATGTATGTATGTATGTATGTATGTATGTATGTATGTATGTATGTATGTATGTATGTATGTATGTATGTATGTATGTATGTATGTATGTATGTATGTATGTATGTATGTATGTATGTATGTATGTATGTATGTATGTATGTTGCCATCATAGGAAGTAATATGGTGACAAGGACATGAGAAAGTTATATAAAGGCATGAAATAAGACGGCCCAACTGTCTCTCCCCCTTGACGTCGATGATGAGACCACTTGCATATAACGTCAATTCCATACACCACACAACACAAATAACAACGGTCGATATTATTGTATACTTAACATTATACTAAGACAACTCACATGCAATTATGAATCCAATTTTTAGCACTCTACGTTCGAATTATTGGTTTTATTTTAGACGGGTTAATAATTCCCGTTTGTATATAGCTTTCGGAAGATAACCCATCTATTTTTCTTGCTTCAACCAAAAAATCCTTTTTTTTGTTGTAACCATATATATATATACATATATATATATATATATATATATGAGTGAACATATATACACACACTTGATTTGGCCTTCATCTTCAAAATCTACCGTGTAACCATTAACTACAAAAAATGGCTTAAAAAATTGCGATTGATAAAATTAACTTGTGAGCTTTTGTGGTTACCGTATTATATTAAATAATTTCATATTTTAAAGATTTATTCTATAAAAATCTAAGTTCAAATATATATACTTTGTTTTCACATGATATATATATCTATATCATTTTTTTAGTCAAAAATTACATTTTCAGCTAAATATTTGAGATAAACGACAATATTCAATATTTTACATTTAGAGCAAATAATCTAGATAATTATCTAATATATATTGTCGGTATTTTTGTTTTGAATTTTGAAAGGATTATCCTAAAATAAAGTTTATTACAAAGAAGCTATATTATCATGTCGGCCGGGCGAACATAATCATGGCGGTGATAACCATGCTTGCCCTAATTACAAGATTCACTTATTAACTCATACAATGGATCCATACTTAAATCAAACCCAATCATTCCCTTCTCTTCGCAAATACACACACACACGTACATATGTATATGCATGTTTAGACGTTTCGATTATATTTCATGATTTTTTTTTTGGTTACGCATTTATTTATCTATTTATTTGCATGAAAAAACATCCATTTTATCATATCTATATTTTTATTTTTTAGATAAAAAAATATGTTGCAACGATTTATCGAATGAATCCCCAAATATATACTCACAATAACAGCTCATTGTTTTTGTATGATGAACCGCAGTTGGGTATCTTAACCAATAAGCTAACGTTTTTGTTATTAATAATTTATATTCGATTACAATTTGCAGATACTCAACATCATATATACACACACACACATATATATAAAAGCTATCATACATAAGAGAAAGGACTGTATAAAAATCTATTGCTGGCTTTTGTATAAAAAAAAATATGGTGCTAGCTTAAGAGACACGCATACATATCTTTTTTTGTATATATGTGTATGTACATGCATATAGACGTACTAGGTTTATGCGGGAGCAATTAATATCTATAAAGAAACAGATACGAGGTTTTACATTACGAAAGAATCCGACATTTTCTTTTGCATGGAATTTGAAACCCTTTGCTTTTTTTGTTGTCCCCGTCAATTAAAACCCTAATCTCACAGCCCAATCCAAAGGACCATCACCACTTTCTCTCCTTTTTATTTCTTCTTTTATTTTAAATAATTGAATTTAAAATACATAATACATAAACTAAAATTGGGGTTTAATTGACGTTGAAAGAAGATTCTCAAGCAGACAAAAACTAAAGGCCAATTAAAGAAACAAAGAGATGAGATTCTAAATGTTTGCATTAGTACATGCATATATTTGTACGTTCATCATATTATCAATTTCAAACAAGTATGTGATATCGTGTCGCATCACAATTATTTCGTTGTAACTAATCATTTAAATTCAATTCCATTTTTTCATACGGGTCAGCTACCACATATGACATATAAAAAAGAATATATATATATATATATATATTCGTTAAACTAGTTAAAAGAGCATATGTCTCAACACATATAATTATAAAATTCATTATTATTCTATCATCTCTCTCTCTATATATATATATATAACGTTTGAATTGAATACGTTCTATAACTTAATAGGTTTGGTCTCTCGCTTCTTTTCGAAATTTATAAAGTCAAATAATATATTAGTAATTTGTATACCTGATCAAACACACACACACATATATTCAACAAATTTCAAATTTTAAAATATAATCAACCACCACACTATACTTTTTTTTTTTTTTTTTACCTCTTTCAACTTTCAAGGGGCAATCTGGTAATATACACAACTCGATTTTTGAAAAACGTTTCGAAGTATTTCTTTTCTTACTCGAAAACTGAGAAAGGGGTCCCTCGTGTTGGCCACTTCGGTATCCCAAGAGACGATAACACTCATTGTTCATATGACCATTTATTAAATTAGATATTTATATTTAACAAAAATAATAATAAATTCCATTTTTTTTTTGTTTACTCATAAATATTAAATACGGGAAGAATCTCTGGCTGGGCCGGACCTAGACAACCAAGTCCATCAATGCAAATGATCTACCTACAATATATATGTATACATCCAAAGGAAATATTAAAATATGAACCAAACGAAAATTTAAACAATAAGCTTAATAAACAAGAAATGTATCAGAAATAGATAATATTGGGAATTATGCTTAGTTTTTTTTCTTTAAAAAAAAAAGAAAATTAACTCTCCATAACTCTCCATAATTCCAAATAAAATAGAAAAATATAATAAAAAAAGACAAACTTTATTAAACGTATGCTGTAAAAATTTTAGACAAGAAAAATCAAGATTTGCAATAACAACTAGATCCAAATTAAACGATATTTTGTCTTTTTTGCCATCAAACTAGGGCATACACGTTTTACACGTGTGAAAAAATAAACTTGTCACATCAATATGGCGACGGATACCAACTCGATCACCCCCACATCCGATTCGCCGTATCATTCCATAATTATTAATCACACCTTATATTATTTTATCTTATTTTCAAGTTAAACATAATATTATTCAGATAATTTTGTATCGACGAAATGGATTTAATACGGATGATTAACAAACAGTACAAGAAACAGGCGTGTGATTGGACAAACGTACAAAAGTAGTAATGTTAAATAAAATAATTAAAAAGCCATGTTCTCAATATAAATCCCGCATAGAAAAATTAAACAAATAACTTCGATTAATAATATCTAACAACGTCACTTAATTATCAATTACTGAATTTCTTATAAAACATTCCGGGTTAATCCCATAAAAATCCCTAAACTTGTTAAAATATTTTATATATAACCTTCAACTTTCATCCTCCCACAAAAAAACTTTTCATTTTCTTTCATTTGATTTCTTTCATCAAAAATATTGTTTACGTGACACAATATATTGTTGATATGACGTTTAACTGAGTTGTCATTCATCAATTTAAAGATTGAAATATATAATTTTGGAGTTAAAAATCCTTCAACACATTGTATTTGAACAAGTTTGGGTTTTTTTAGGATTAAGTTTAACCCAAAACATTTCCCGTGATTTAAGGAAATTAAAGCAACCGGTCAATAAATGGGCCCAAATAAACCACTGTGAGGCCCAAAAGCTCAACGATTGAGAACCGAGCCGGTGTCGAACCGGATAGATCGCTTACGTGGCCCACTGTGATTCGACGAAGATAATTTATATATTACAAAAAATATTGAGTAAATACATAATTTTAAAATTCATAAATCCATAATCTATTGATAAAATCAGAAGAAAGCCATCTATATTAACCCAAAGGCATCATGTATATATATATATATTGTATATGTGAATGTATATAATTTTAATACTACATGAATACGTGTATAACATATTAACCATCTGCCAAAAAATAGCGAATAGATTCGTTCCACGTGTCACATACATCGCTTACGTCAGTTTCGCTTCGAGAAACGAGCAAACGATTTGTAAACGAGAAAAGAAAACGCAGGAAACTCTCGCCCATCGCTTTCCCTTCCCCCAAACAGAGCCGAGAAAATTTCCTCGAAGAGGAAAGCCGCGTCGAATTGTAGAACATTCTCGCTAGCTTCTGCATTTTTCCACAGTATAAGGTATGTTCATACTCGGTAACCGCTTTTTCATTGTTTCTGTTTTCTCGTAATTTTCTGTTGATTTACTTCTGGTCAATAGCGAAGATCATTTGCAGATTCCCTTACTCTATCGCTTCGATTGACGCTTAAACAGATTCGATCGGACATATTTAGGGTTCGGTGTTTTCATGGAGGAATCGGGAAGTGGCAGCGACGTTGTGGCTTCGCCGCTCGCGAAATGGAGAAGCGATTTCTCGAGGTCGTTCCAGAATTACTTGGACAGTTCTGCTCCTCACGCCGGCCGGAGGTGGCTGGTGACTTTGGCGGCGGCTGTGATCTACGTCTGTAGGGTTTACTACGCTCAAGGATTTTACGTCGTCTCCTATGGCCTCGCTACTTACATCTTGAACCTCTTGATCGGTTTCCTCTCTCCGAAGGTCGATCCAGAGATCGAGGCTTTTGATGGCGCATCTCCGTCGAACGCAGGTTCTGATGAGTTCAAGCCTTTTGTTCGTCGTCTTCCTGAGTTCATGTTCTGGTGATTGCCTTTCCCTCCATTTTCTAGAAAATTTGTTCACCAAGCTCATTCGATTCATGTGCCTTTGATTCGTCCAATCAAGTGGGGTTTTTTTTTCTCAATTTTGCAGCAGCTGCTGTGAATTTTTATGATTTTTCTGCCAACTTGCTTCAGGTACGCAGCAACGAAGGCCTTTGTTGTTGCATTTCTCATGACGTTCTTCTCCCTCTTGGATGTTCCTGTGTTCTGGCCGATCTTGTTGTGTTACTGGCTGTTTCTGTTTATCCTTACCACGAAGCGCCAGATCGTGCACATGATCAAGTACAGATACGTTCCCTTCAACTTTGGGAAACAGGTAAGCAGTAAAATGTTCTTGTCCATGAATTTCAGCCTTTTTTTTTAAATAAAAAACAACCTCGCTCGTAAGGTTAGGTGAATCTTCGCTTAAATCAGAATCCTGAACATAACTTGGGCTGATTTTTGGCAGAGGCACACTGGCAAAGATAAGTCTAGAAGCGGCAATGCATCGTCTGGGAATGGAAGGACGGATTGATGTGAATCTTGGACCAGGCATTGTTCCTGTGTATTCTCCGGTTAGTGATGGACAAAGAAGACCAGATGGATAGAAGCCGGAGCTCATAATCATGCAAGGGGAGTCAAAATGAGGTGATGGGCTCCGGGCAAAATCGAGCAATCTTCCTCTTATGGGATAATTCTAGTTCTCATAGCTCGGGAGTTTCATGGGTATAACTGATCTGGTAAACAAAGATCCCCGAAATCCTAAGCAAGGTTTGTTCTCAAATGTCTCTCTCTTTTGAAACCAAGATTGAAAGAATGTCCTTTTCAAGCTGTTTCATTGCTTGAATATGGGAACTGTGTCACAAGCAAGGAAGTGGAACTTCTGAAAAAGGCCATTGTTTTTAAGGAAGCGTTATATGCTGCATAGGCTTTGATTTCAGTTCATGACCGTGAAAGCACAACCTAATTTTAGCTTAAAAAAAGAGCTCTTACCTCGGTCCAATCGGTGATTGCTCATCTCACAGTTGAGTAAGTGATGAACTCCATTGAAGTGAACTGAAAGGGCTGGCACGGGATAGGATTCCTGCAATTTTTGGAAAGATCAGATTTCGGACCAAATTATGCAACATAGTACAAAAGATGGTGACTGAAGCATACGGTCTAGGGCCGTAAACTTTGATCTGGCGGATGTGAGAATCCCTTCCGTTGAGGTGATTCGACGAAACAGCTATTTGCAACATAAATGTATTAACGAAAGTTTCCCTGCCAAAAAGATCATAATTTGGACTGAACTCATCAATTCCATGCTCAATTTTCTACTTTTTACGTGTATATGCATATATATATATATATGTGTGTGTATTATATATATATACCGAGAAAACCCACATAAAAAGGCAGAATTTGATTGAAAGCAAAGATTTGAATTTTGCATTACATACCGTGGATCGGCTCCAGACAAGGATATGTGAACCCAACCAGTTGGCTTCACAAGCTCTATATTCTTAATCTCCTGTAGTAAAAATAAAATAAATAAATTTGAAGCCCAATCCAGACACCATGCCAAACTCATCACGAAGTTACCTTCAAGTTGTGGAACCCATCTCCGGCTCGAATCGAAATCTTACTCGGTGTGTAGCTCTCGTCGAGCTTGAAATCAATGTACATAACCACTAACTTTCACCACCACAGAGGAAATCACGAATTCAACGTTATCATGATCCGAAACGGAGTGAAAAATCGGAAGATTGGATCATAAACTAACCTGCAATTTCACCTTTTTCTGGAACTGGATGTTAACCAGATGTGGCTGCAGACCGTCTGATCTGCAAATCCAGACAACACGATCAGCCAAAAACCGAATAGACCGAGACGAAATTGGGGGGGGGGGTTGTTGAGGATATTTTAACTGCCAGTAGGTCTCGAGATTGTCGTCGCGGAGAGCGGAGACGCCATTGCCGGGCTTGCAAGAGCTGACGCTCCAAGCAGCGTTCTTCCCCATCTCTCTCAGATCTTCGTCCACGATCAGCTTATCATTCCCTCCTCTGATCTTCCCTTCTTCCTCCGATTCTGATGACTCCGTCGCCATCTCTCTCTCTCTCTCTGGAATTTTCGCTGAGGAGGAGCGATCTCACCTCTTTCCGCTGAAACCTCGCGAGGTTTTTTTGAATTCGACTTCTGGGTTGGCTCCCAAGTAAAAAATCGGCGCCGTTCTTGGACGCCAAAACAACACGTAGTTCTACTTTCGAGTTTGAGAACATCAAGCACTTGGAATATATTATTACGAAATGAATGAAATTGAGATTTAAACGTATTAATATTTAGGCCGGATAGTTTATAGTTTAATCCTATAAATTTAAACATTAGATAACAGAGGGTGGCAAATAATATGCCCAATTGAATTTTGTTGATTTTTTTTCTTAATATTTTTATTTAATTAAATAAAAAATAATAGACAAAGGAAGTAGAGTGAAAATCTTATCCAAAAATAAAAAGATCCACTCAATTTCCACTTTTTGTGATGTTCTTATTTTTTTTATTTACCGAGAGGTTCATCTGGGTCTTCGACCCAAACTATATCCCTCAGGTAGGAATCAACCTTTAGATTAAGGGTCCAGAGAGCAACACTTTACCTCTTCTTCCTCATCAACTGTTTTCGAACTGGCGACTAATGTCTAGAGAACAACATCCTTTCACCACTCGATCACTCACTGAGTGGTGTTCTTATTCTTCACACTCTTCATTTTCTAACTCATAAAAACTCAAATTTTCATGCAATTCCACCCCTCAAAATTTCAGATTTTTTCTTTCCGTACAAAAAATAATAAAAATGATTATACATAGCATCATCCATTGGATTTGAATGGCCATCAAAAGATCCAATTTTGCAACCAAAAAAAAAAGTGACAAATTGTGTAAGTAGGTCATGATAGAGACAATATCTTATCATAGATGTTGTCAAAATCAAACAGCTTAGAGATATATTATTGGTGGGACAAATTGGGCGAAAAGAACGTATAGACCCACTTGCCATAATGAAAGCTACCTTATAATATATATGTATATATATATATAAATCGTAACGGTCATTAATGATGGATACATCCATTAAGAACAATGGGGTATTATTATACAAAAATGGGAATCTACAGGTTGGTGAAGAGAGAAGATAAAATTGAATAGTAATGATAGAAACTGTGCAGATGTTGTGTCTGCAACAAGGAGCTGTTATCACCACAGAATCTCTCTTTTCTTCTAGATATCTGTCCTATAATATATATATATATATATGTATGTATATATATAGATCGACGCATTGGATTGGTTCCGATCCTTCAGCCTTAACGAACTTGTTACTTTTGAAGAAGCTGATGAAAATGTAACGGAATTGACTGATCTGAATAATGATGTATATGTGTGTGTATATATATCACATATTGTGTTCGATGGTTCAACAGTAATGGAAGCCGAAGGTAGATGTGTCTTGAGAGATTGCAGCGTTGAGAGATGGTGTCTGGTTGGGGAAATCGAGAGATCCTTGATGGTGTAACGGAAACGACGCCAGACCCGCCATTACTGATGGCTTCGATCTCGTCGGGGGAAGAAGAAGACCTGTGAAATAACCCTGAAACCATTTTTTTTCCTCATAAAATGATTCAAACACGAAACGGCAATTTCCAGATGATTCTTTGATTGTGAATCTTGATTTTAGTGATGTTACCTGTTTTCCGGTTATGTCATCGACGTCAAATTCTAAATCTGGGTTTAGGACAGCGAGTTTCATCGACAAGAACTACAAGAACCAGACACATATCTCAGAGAAAAAGTACAAAAAAAAAAAACATTTCTGAATACAAAAAAAAACTTTTTTTTTGTACCTCGACTTGTCGTTGCAGAGATTGGACATAGTTGATGATCTCATCAAGCATGCCAGCTTTGCCCGTGACCTTGCTGCAACCCGGGACGAGATCCTGAAGGAATTTCATTTTCTTGCTGATCTTTTCCCTTCTCGCCTGTAAGTTCCATCAAGGGAGGAAGGAAACCCTAATGTCAGAACGGTAAGGCAGAAACATAGATATTCTTGTTTCTTGTGGCGCAAGAAACACTCTTACCCTTTCTGCTAAGCTGTGTTTATCAGTAGCTTGCCCACGCCGAGCTCTCACGTGGATGAAATCCGGTTTTTGTATCTCTGAAACTTTGGAAGTTTCCTTCGATGTGTCTGAATACGCTTCTGTGTTGCTAGTGCTCGATTTTCCTTTCATGCTTGATTCTGTTTCTGCCTCCATTTTGATCTTCTTGTCTGTGTTTTCTTCCCTTGGCTTAACCTGAACACAGAAAACACCATGGAAGAGGATAAGGATCAAACCCAGAATTCAGACAAATGGAATAAACAGATCTCTGTCTTCAAAATTTGATCTTTTGAGCTACAGACCTCGGACTTTCTCTTGTTCAAGGACGTTCCTCTGGTTTCTTCTTTCTTATTCAACACAACCACAGCTGTGTCTAATGGTTCCATTTGGCAGCTACTAGTCCTTGAAATGCATCCATCAATGGCGGCATCATGTTCTGGAACAAAACCCACGTTATAGTTCGATCCAAAAACTGTCCCAGCCATTGGAAAATGTCTGAAACTCTGCAACTCGTCATTGTTTCCCAAACAATCCTCGGCCCTTCTGAGCTCTCCTCCATCTGGAGCATGGAACTGAAGCATCTGAACAAGTTCAGGTGAAGTACTGTACTTATTGCTGTTGCTGTCCTGAGACACCACTTGCTGTTGCAGCCATTCGAACCTTTCAAGTACAGACATGCCCATGGAGCTCAATGAAGAACTTTCCGGAGAGACAAGATCTCCCAACATTGTTTTGATTTGGTTTCTCCCTTCTTTATATGATCTAAAGGTGAGACCAAAAGTACAAGAAGTAGAGAGAAGAAGAAAAAAGGGATATATGAAATATATAAAGGGGGGAAATGGAGAAATGTAAGGTTAGGGACTTAGGGGGGAATGGTTTGCTTGGGAGAGATGAAGGTGAGAGACTAATCCATTGGGTATCATTCTTTCATAGCTTTAAATAGAAAGCAACATAAGGTCCCCCCATTTTCATTTGTTTGTATTTTTTTTTTTGCTTGCTTGCCCATGTCTTGAATGATCATCCAAATCTCCATAAACCAATTCTTGCAGTGATGTAAAAGAGAGGGAAAAAAACATCTCAATTCATATGGATTTCTAGTATTACAGATGGGTAATGATCCAACAAATCATTTAAGGTGTGTTCTGTACTTGACGATGAAAAAAGGAAAACACTTTGTTGAGAGAGTACAAAGCTATCAGATTCTCTAATCTACAAAAGCAAGAGTCATTTAAGGGTAGGAATTTTCATACGTTGGAGGAAAAAGGGCTAAGAAAATTGCAGTGAACAACAGTAGAGGAGATTCGGAATAGATAATGGAGAGAGAGAGAGAGAGAGAGAGAGAGGGAACAAGATGGTGAGAGAGGGGAGGGACAGTGGGGGTCCAAATGGCATAACCTACCATGTGGGCATGTCCTTATGAACAGGATTTGAGGGGGAGAGTGTGTGTGTTTGTTTCTTTTGCCCTTTCAAGTTTGTGAGAGGATCTCTATTAAAACCAAACCAGATAGAGAAGGAAAAAGAGAAAGGGAAAACTTGAACAAAGGGCATCATCAATGAATTAGGTGGATGATGGGATGGGCATGGATGATTACCATGGCATCCCCAAGAAATCTAGTTTAAGGTACTATAGGAACAATGCTTTCAAAATCATGAGGGGTTTTAGTGGGTGAGAATAGATCATCATCTCTAAACCTTTGTTATGAATATGCAGACATCAACCTTGTGGCCCTCAAACTCAAACTCACATATAAGAACATGAAACTACAATATATATATATATATATATATATATATATACTTTTGTGCAGGTTGTCTTCATATATATATATATATATATATATATGTATGTATATGTTTGGGAGAAAAAAAAGAGAAAAAAATATAAAATGGAAATTAAAGAATAACAGACGCTAGAGGGAGGGGTTGAACCTCCGACCTTGTGGTTAACAGCCACACGCTCTAACCAACTGAGCTACTCCAGCTTGGGTATCAATAACTTTATATATTTTTACAATCTATTCAGACAATTCCAACCTAATTGCATGTTTTTAAATTCCTAAATGGACGGACCCTGAAAACAAGGAAATGACAATGTTAATAATAATAATAATAAATATAAAAAGTGTAGAAGGGAAAAAAATATATAAAAATCTTGAAAACAGTGGGTTTGAAGATAAGTGAGATGGGAAGGTAGGAGACCATGGTTTTTGATCAAATGTTTGGTTCCTGTACCAACCTCATATGGTCCTGTCTCTCTTGTTGCTTCAATAAAATCTCTAATTAAAAAAAAATATTCTCTTTTCCAAATTGATTGAAATATCCCATTGATGTGATCCATCTGCAATGAATTTCCAATGTGTAACACTCGAATCCATTCATGAAGATACAAGTTAGTTTAGAAGAACACCCACCAATGATCAAGATTCAAGAATGGCATAACCTCTGTAAATTATGAATGGGGATATTCTACAAATGTATTTCAAATTTCTGCATACACAAAATAATCAAATCGGGTCAATGGGCATACTCTCACTGCATATACTATTTACATATGGCAGGCAGACCATTGTCCTAAACAATTTCTTCCTATATTATATTACAACAATATACATAACCCTAGTTTAGCTGTTCTTTTGCTTGTTTCCCAAGTCACAAAACTAAGTCAAAATGGCCGACCAAAACTGATGTGTTCCTTGCATCTGTTCTTCTCGCAACACCCAGAAGAAAAAAATGGCAATCATCTCTTCTTCTTCAGGACAGGAACTGAGAGTTTGAATCCAAAAAGACCAGATTTCTTGGGAGACGGCGTAGGAATCTGAGAAACCGAGTTCGTGACGTGTTGTTGATGTTGAACAGCCGGTTCTTCTGGGGCAGATGAACCTTGCCCTTTACCGAAATCCACATCTCGTAAAACCCTCAGCAGTTCAGAAGCACTCGCTTTGGCTCTATCGTTCCCGTTGTTGGATATGAAAACGAGCGAAGGGATAACGTTGATTCCCTCATCCATTACCAGATAGCAGTAATCGGGTTGCATGCAGAGCATGAGGAGGATGGAGACAGCGTTCTCTTGCTCGTCATGGCTGTCTGACTCGAGCAATTCAGCTACCGAAGCCAAACACCCGGCTGTCTTGACAACAGAAGCACGACCCTTCTCGATATCGCAGAGATTTCTTAGGATGATGACAGAGTGTTTCCTGAGCATGTTGTGTTGTAAGAAAGAGGCCAGCTTCTGGATAAACTGGAGAGACACCATTTCCAGGCATATCTCATTGCTCGAAGACAGGTTCTGCAGAGTAATCATGGCTTGTTCCTGCAGATCCATGGCTTGAGATTCGAAGATCTTCAAAAGGGATGAAACGAAACCTGAAAAGGCTATTTTGGACAGACCATGCGGGTGACCAGACAGCACTTCCACTATGTTCAGAGCTTCTCCAGCTACTTCTGAGTCGAGAAAGAGCGAAAGCAGACGAAAAGCATCTTCGTTCAAAGATTCTATAGCCTTTCTGCATGAAACAGTGAGAGACTCCTTCGATTAAGTTTCATATCTCGCTTAAGGAATAAAAGGGTCCTCAGAACTGAAGTCGAATATTACAGCTAAAAAAAAAACATATCCCACCAAGGTGGTAATGAAGAAAAGAACAAAACAGACCTGTTTTTGGTAAGAAATGTCAGTAGCAAATCCAATCCAGCCCTTATGTCTTCGACGCAATGTATGTTGTTGGCATTCTTCAGATACGAAACAAGTGGCTTGAGAAATTTCGGGGGAGACATTGCCGGAAAAGCTCGACTATTGTGCTCAAGACGATTTCTTACATCTTTGACAACCTTTCTCTGTGCTTCCCATGCAAGATCATCGAGTCCACACAGAGGATCTATCTCTATCTCCACCTCGCTATGACTCGAACCCATATGACCGGTGAAGGCAGAACCCTTTGAGATTTTGCTTATGGGTGGTGTTTCGCCTGAGAAGCTCGCGTCTGATCCTCCAATAGATATGCTGCTGATATCGGATGGAAGCCGGAGATTGTACATGGAACTACCAAAACTAGCAATAGAGATGGATGAGAAGTCCATACGGCGAAAAGCCTCAGATTGTTTCCCTGGATCTTCGACGTTAACTCCATACTTTGAGCACCATCTCGATATCAGATCCTTCATTCTTGTATCGGGGTACAGCAAAAGATTGTCCAGTTTCGTTTTAGTTTTCGGGCATGAATCATTACCTTCATCAAACCATTTCTGAATCCACACCCTCTCAAAGGTTTGGCCAGAGGAAATGATGACAGGATCATACATGATTCTCAGAGACAGGGGGCATATAAATTCCTCGGGCGGAGTAGCACTGACAAGCAGACAACTCTCGTGATCACGATGCTTGTGTTCCTCGGAAAACTCAACTTGAGAATCATTTCCAGATACAGAACATTTGGCGGAACACAATTCTTCGTGAGAGTCCTCTTTCTGATCTCTAGTAATGAACTGTTCGAGATTGTGCAAAAGATAGAGAAGATACCTCAGAATCTTTCTTTTGTGCAGGTTGTCTTCACCTACTTTCTGGAGAAGAACCTTAAGGGATCTTCTCTCGATGACAATGGCTTTGGGAGTTGAAAGTTGAAGTTTCCCAGCGGCGAAATGGAAATCTTTGATATCATCCGAGGAAACAGACGAGGAAACCCTCCGTCTCATCATCTCTGCAATAGCTTTTCCGGCATCTTCTTCAGACGGGTCCAGACTAAACATGCCACACCTAAGATCATGGATGATCTCAGAAATCTGCACGCAAAAAAAAAACGTCACTTAAACTTATACCATGTAGCTTTTCACGAAATGGGAATCGTGAAAAAACGTAGGAGGGTAACGAACCTTGACAGCCAGAACGACCGGTACCATGTTTTGAATCTCACTTAAACTTTGCTCCAACAGATTTTTCGCTCTTAAACTTCTGGAGAGTATTGCATCTCCTGTTACAGCCTGAGATATGCAAAAGCATTTATCATAGAATGAACACAAAAATACACACCGCGAGGACAAAGATTCTACCCGAAAAAAACATCAAAGATTTTCTGATCAATCGTAATGGAGAAAAGATTTTTGAAGAACAAAATTCGAAGACGGAGTTCCACAAACCATGTAGAGTTTACTGGATTCACTGCAATATTGAAGAAGCAGCTTGGATTTCTCCAGTGCATTGTTCAGCAAGCATAGTGTCTGAATCCCCGACAAGCACCTTGGTCGAGCCTCTTCTATGTCAGGAAATATCCTCATGATTCTAACCACTAAGTTCCTCAGTTTCATGCACATTGAAGAGTGCATCTGCAGCATAAGGCAACGATATTTTCAGACAGCAACAAAGGGCATATGCGCTTAAGCAAAAAACACAACAAATGAAACACTCGAGACTTTGCATAAGAGATTCAAAGCTCAGACCTTGAAGGAACGAGGCAAAGCCTCCAACCCTTCAGCAATAATATCATTCCTCATCGCGACGAGAAGGAATCTACAATCTGCAAATTGACCAAAGACTGGAGAAACCTTGAGCTTGAACATGAACACGAATCATGAATCATGACAACAGGAGATGCAGAAGCCAAATGGAAGTAAACTGCAAGGAATTTCATGATTTCAGCAGAACTGAAGAGAATCGACTCACCCTAATGGCCTGCGTCTTCACGGTGTCACGATCCGATACAAATGAATAGCTTTCTTCTCCAAAACAAACATACGGGTAAAAGCCCTAGAATCATACACCATAACTAACAGAATCCCCAGAAAATTACAGGAAAGTCGAGAGCATTTTCCTCGCAGAACGACCAAAAATCAGCAGAGGAGACAACAAATGGTCGTCCAAAGAGAGAATTTCAGATGAGACCAAGAACATAGTTACTCTCCTGCTCATGAAAAAAAGAATCCAACTTTTTCCTCTCCAAGGTTTAACCCTTATCCTCAAAAGTAAGCCCCTTTTTTTCTGCAGAAGCCGAAGCAGAGGAAGAGAACAACAAAAAAAAAAGGAACCCACGAATAAGGGATCTCCAAAAAGAATCGTCTCCAAAGTTGAAAAGCCCTCAACCAAAGCGACCGCGGAATCGAATTCCCTGACGGAAACGTCAAAATTACACGACAAAAACCATAAATTTATCTCGGGAGATCAAACAAAGGTGATTGAATCGTGGGTCATCGGCCAAATTCAGAACAACAAAAAGAAACTGATCGTGAAAGAGATAGAAGAGACGCTTCAAGACAAAATCCGAATGCAAAAAAAAAAGATCGTACCTTGAGAAGAAAAACATGCAAAGCGAGATAGCGTCCTACGAAGAAGAGGAAAAGGTAGAGCTAACCACGGGCAACGAGTAAAATGCTGTGACATTAGAGTGACAGTCTGTGAAAGACAGACGAATATGAGTCGTTGATCTTTACGATCGTATGGTCTTAAATGGTCTGTGATATTATAAAGGTCACAGCCATCAGTAATGGGACATGAGTACCGTGTCCACGCAGACTATATTGAATGGCTGCTACGGTCAACACCACTTGAAGACAACTCTAAATTCAAAGTCTTGGACTTTTACTTTGCTAAAAAGCTTTATTCATTCTTTGTAATAAGAATTGATGCGGCTTTTGTCTCGAAGATCATAAGTTGTTTAACTCTAATCACCAAAATCAATTAATCCCTCCGACGTTTTAACCTTTTTTTTTAATTTTTAAAAATATAAAAAAAAAGTCATATATATATACACGTATTTAATCATAGATACTTCATTAAGTTTATTAAAATTATTAAATATATTTTAAAAAATTAATTACAAAATCGAAAATAAAATCTATTTAATAACAAAAATATTTTATATAGGCCGTCAACTATTAAGAAACAGAGGAAAAGTTTTTTTAGTTAATATTATTATGTAATTCAGATTAACTGAAACGAATTATGGTTATAGATTCGTTTTCAATGACGAGTTCCAACAATGAATTGTTTTTATCTTTCCACAACGAAGACCACCTTGACAAGGTCAACGCCCAATTCGAATCGGACAAGTTTGAATCTGAATCTAAATACGAATCGGACAAGTTATATATTTTAACCCGAATCCCAATTCGAATTTTTGGATATCCGAATAATATTATTTAGAGATAATTTTCATATATCAACGGATATTTGACGGAATTTAAACCCATTTTGCTTAAAAATTCATATGTATGTGTAACTCATAGCATCATCAATATATATATTTATTCCCAAAATGATTAGGTCATAAAATAATAGTCTTTGTAAGTAAAATATTTTAATTTAGATATTTTTTGTAATTTCATAACAATTCAAGGAGTAATGGTTATTTTTCTATTTCGGAAGTTATTCGAATCCAAATTCAAATTTCAAATTTGATCTATATCTCGTTACACGATGAATATTTCAAGATGGATATCTAAATTTTTTGATGAAGAACATTTAAATTTTTGTATCTACTTTTTTTTCCTCGATGAATAATATTCTAAGACCAACCATAATTATTTGTTTCGCCGATTTATCTTTCCTTTATTTTCTGCGTTTGCTTTCCTTATCTTATTTTAGTATCTAGTTTTGTTTTCTATTATAATAGAAAACAAAACTCTTGATTATTGATACATTCTATAACATTTCAAATTGGTCAATAATGACAGAGTCACACCACACCCTTTCCAATTTTTCAAATTTAGGTTGAAAAATAAAAAAGATGGGGTAAAGTGAATTCTTCTCAAGATACATACTAGGATTAGGACTCTGATACAAGTAATTCCTGACATCTGGTAGAAAAGTAATATAAATCTAAAGAGAGACAAAAGATTTTTCATAATTTTTTTGATTAGACCAAATTGGGAACAAGAATTTGGTTCTTTTTTTATGAATTTGATAAAGTTAAATACGAATAATATTCTAAGACCAACCACAAAAACACATTTGAATTTTCGTATAAAGATCTATCTTAGATATATTTCTCGGGTACGATTCACTTATTTTCGGGTTTCAATTTTTATTTTGTTTTAAAAAAATAATACTTGTTGAATTTTTTATTATTCTATTTCTGTAAGATAGATCATTTGTGACCAAATCACAGCAAGGAACGTCTAGGGCCTTAATGATGGGAAACGGGCTCATAATTGGGCCTAATGGGCCTAATGGAACCAAATCCTGCTTCAGTTTTAGCTTAATAGGCTTCATTTATTTGCTTAATGGGCTTCCTTTATGAAGTTTTTTATTTGGGTGGGTCGGGTACAATAGGAGAAAGAAACGTGTGGTTTAAAAAAAAAGAAAGAGGAAATATATTTTAAATTAATGTTTGAATTTAACTAGATTGCGAATCGAGCCAATAATTATTCAGTATTAATTTAGTATATTTTTTTGTAGAATCGAATAAATTATATCCAAAATAATAAACCGATAAAATATCGAACACTCGAATTATTTATGATTTCTTTGTAAATATCAAGTTTTGATACTTGTATAATGAAAACGAATCGAAATGAACTGACACTAAAACAAAACCGATTAATATTCATTTCTAATTTGATACGAATATATTCTCTAACCGGATCTCGAAACGTTCATCTCTAATTTCAAGTTTAGTTCCGACTATTCGCTTAAAGTCTTTTATGGTTCTTTGGAATATATGAGATCCATTATCTCTAACTTATAACTAAGATTTTAAATCTTATTGACATCGAAAATCTCCAAATCTCTATTTTTCTCGAACAAGAAAAACTCTAAATAAAATGAATCTGAGTTAGTTATTTTATTTTTTAAAATAATTTTTCTAGGAAAATCAGTTAAACTAGTACTGAGGCCACCCCTTTATGATCGGATTGGAGTATAAAAATTAAATTGAACTGAATAACATGCCATCATATTTAAGGCGAAGACATTAGGGATGTTAAATGGGCTGTCGGCTCGCGAGCCGGTCCTGAACCAGACCGTTTAGTGCCGAGTTGGATCATTCATTTTTTAGCCCGTTACAAACGGTCCGATATGGTCTGAGCCAGTAAATGGCGAACTCGTGACGAGTCGGGCTGGTTTGAGTTGGACCAGGCCGCGAGCCGCATCCTTTCTTAGTTTTTATTAATCCTATTTTTTATGAATGATTTTATACATTATTCGTAATGGTTTTATCTTTTATTGGTAACAATTTATATAAGTTTTTAGTATTTTTTAGAAAAAATCCCAAAAAAGCACTGAACTTTACAATTTTGACCAAAAAACACTGAATTTTTTATTTTATCAAATAAACATTAAACTTTTTAAATTTGACAAAATAAACACTTAACTCTTCTACGATTGTCAAAATAAACAAAATGAATTACGGGGCTCAATTATATGCAAACACATCAGATTATTTAATTTACTTCGTTTTTTTTACAATCGGAAAAAGTTCATGAATTTTTTTGGATCACTAAAAAAGTTCAGTGTTTTTTTGATAATCGCAAAAAAGTTTGTTTTGGATCGTTTAAAAAGTTCAGTGTTTTTTTAGACTGGTTTAAAAAGTTTAATGTTTATTTGACAAAAACTAAAGTTTAGTGTTTTTTTGTCAAAATTGTAAAGTTCAATGTTTTTTTTTTGGATTTTTCCTATTTTTTATGGATTAAGACATTATTAGTAATGTTTTATAAGATTTTTTCATATTAACTGATTATTTTAGCACGATTTATTACATTGTTTTGTATTTTTTAGCGTGCGAGCCAGCTCGGTTTGCCCACGAGTTTTAGCGAACCGGTTCGGGCCGCTTAATCTCAACCCATTTACAAACGGTTCGGTTTGGTCTGAGCCAATAAAATGGCGAGCTCGTGACGAGTCGAGTTGGTCCGAACCGGGCCAACCCATTTAACATCTCTAGAATACATATATAATTTTTTTTAAAAAAAAAAACTGAAACTAAATTAAATAAGAAAACATAACAAAGATATTAAAAAAAAGAGAGAAAAAAATATTTTTTTAATAAAAAGCGAACCCGAATGTAATTTGAATAAAATATAAAAATATGAATAAAAATAAAATCCAACAAAAAATCAAATAAAGAAATTTTTTATAACTGACGGTAAAACACGAAATCTCGACTCCTAAACTACCCTTTGTTGTGTTTTCGTTTCTTGAGAAGGTAGAACCATAAGTACGTTATCCATTTATAATATTTTTTTTTTTTGGAAAAATCCATTTATAATATTTATTTGCACGCAAATAGTCCATTCGAACAATTTATTGAGGAAAAAAATATTTAAAAAAACGAAAAGGATGTAAAAAGTTTGGGTTCTCATGCTTATGCAAGCAGAATATTATTTGCACTTGAAAAAAAAAACAAAGCTTAAGTGGCCACAATAATGCCATTTAAACATATGTTTGATTCCAAAGGTTTATCAAATTTAATACGTTGAGAGAGGATTTTAGGGGAAGCATATAAGATCGGTCGGAATCTAATCAAATTAAATCATATTTATTTTAATTATCTACTTTTCCAAGAGAGAATTTGGCCTTTATGGAAAGCATCAACCAATGGTACATGACGACGATATAAAGATCTAATGTTATTAATGGCGATTCCACACGTCAGCAATTATCCCCCCCCCCCCCTTTTTTTTTTTGCAAACCCTAAATTAACCCTCGACCATTATTTTATTTCGTAGGGTTTTGAATGAAAAACTACCATATATACACACCCAAACTTTTCTTCAGCAAAACCCATTTCTCTTGATAACAATTTCAAAAATTGGACCGATATTACAGAAATGGTTTTTTATACAAATTAGGTGATGGAATAAACAATTAAAAAAAATAAAGAGATTAAATTAAGAGGGTGGTGGATTGTTGAGGCGTAGAGGTGAAGGTATGGATCCACTTGGTGATTCCACAAGAACAAGTTGGGGAGTGGGGGAAGTGTGAGAGAGAGAGAGAGAGAGAGAGAGAGAGAGAGAGGGTATCTCCCAAGAGAATGTTTTTATCACGAAGCGCACACACAAGGAGGAGTCTGAGCAGAGATTTCCAACGATACGATTCATCCATGATATCTTCCCCAAGATTTCGAACTTTACCCACTTGCACGTATATATGTATATATATATATGTAACTTGCAACCTGAAATTTAAAAAAAAAAAACACCTGAATATTCTCATAAAATATGCGGCTCCTTCTTGCGTTTGGGGCGAGGGAGAAGTTACTGGAAGAGACCACGTCTCCATGCATGCAGTAACAATACCTATACTTACTATATAGTTTTCACCATACACCAAACGATAATTTATGATCTCTCTAACAACGTTTCTCAGCGAATCCATCAAGATTTTTTGATTCCACTATTCACATTTCGTCACGAAAAGGGTGATAGAGGAAAGGGTTTTCAGTGTTCGTCTTCCTCCATAAGGCCAAGAAAGGATATCTATTTATCTATATATGCTTTGATATTGGTAATGAGATGCTTAGAATCTTGTTCCAACGTACAAGTGTTGATGTGTATTATATGTTCACTCTCGTTTAGGTTGGCATGGTTGGTGGAAAATATATATGGAACACCAAATCGGGTTGGCCCAGTCCGACCTGGCTCGAGCCTGCACTCGACCCGAAGGTTTTGGGTTTGAGCCGACCCGATTTTTTTCGGATCTATGAAGTTAAGCCCGAAGCCCGATCTTATATATACTAGGTTCGGTTCGGGTCGGATCAGACCGGACCGGATCAGCCCGCGCAAATCCCTTTGTAATTCTTATTTTTTTCTCTTTTTTTTTTTTTAAATATCGGGCTTTCGGACCGGTCTGACTCGAGTCCTAAACCCGATTCGAGTCTGGTCCGAAAGCCTGATTTTTTTCCGGCCGAAAAACTTAGGTCCAAAGCCCGCTAATTTTTGGGTTGAACCGGACCAGGCTTCGGGTCTCGGACTTCGGACCCAAATTGACACCCCTAATTAATTACAAGATGCGATAGACAAGAGATTGGATCGGATTATGACAACCTATAACGAGTTTTCGTGAAAATCTAAAGAGGCCGTCAAAATCTTTTGAGACGAAGACGCGGTGGAAGTAAATAACTATACGATAAAAATGTACGTCGTTCATTCTACAGTTGAAATGCAGCATAATCGCAAGCTCAATGAAGACCATAAAGAAAACAAAATAACTCTTTTATTCTTAAAAAAATAACTCAAAATGATATTATCATTATATCGGTATATCATTATCATTTTCATTTGTATTCTCATTATCAACCACCATTTTTTTTTTATGAAAATATCAACAAACTAGAAAAAATCAGAAACTATTTTCTTTATAAAAATATCAACAAACTAGAAAAATTGAGAAACTCTAATACTATGTAGGAATTTGCATAATGATTTTTTTATTAATAATCAAAATAATATAGAAATAAATAAGAGTTTTAAGATGAATAATTCACTAAACTAAATATAATAATAAATATTTTTAAATATATATTTTCTGTATTTGACAAAATATCTATTATACGATATATTTTGTAATATTCTTCAAAAATCGATATATTTTAACAGTTTTCACCTCTAATCTTCTAATTTTGAAGGAAAAAAAAGCAAATATCAAATGTTGTTTTAAAGTTCAATACTAGTATATATGCACACGGGCCACGGACTATACTCCCACTGTACGGAAATAATACGAAATTGTAAGAAAGAGGAAACCTTGATTTTTTTTCCCCTATTGTAAGGTCAAAGAATCTCATTCTGCTAAGGAAAAAAAAAAGAAAGTTTGCGCCCTTTAGAGACTAACGCCCCCTCTCGCTTTGCTTAATTTCATTCGTTTGATTTTGCATATATTTCCTCATTGTCCAATTCGCTCATATATTATTTCCGTGGCTGCTAAAGGAACGGGTCACTCTATAAAGGTCTCACCTTTGGAAGTATATATTCTTCCAACTGGCTTTACCCCACCATTGCTTCCCCGCCTTCCTACATATAAGGAGCTCCCTCTCCCTAGCTATATGATCGAACCAAAAACCGATTCCTCGGGTTCATAGTTTTCGAAATCTTGATCCGGGTTTTGAGCTTACATACATACATTCTTTTGCAGTGTGATGGCTTCAAACTCTATGAGCTCCTACCGCAGCTCGAGCTCGTCTTGGACCGCCAAGCAGAACAAACTGTTCGAAAGGGCTCTGGCTATATACGACAAGGACACGCCCGACCGTTGGCAGAACGTTGCCAAAGCGGTGGGAGGAAAATCGGCTGAGGAGGTGAAGCGACACTACGAGCTTCTCATTAGGGACGTCAATGACATTGAGTCGGGACGCTATCCGCATCCAAACTACCGTACAAGCGGTAATAATTAGAAACTGAAGGTAACATAATGACCCCCTCTCTGCTTGAATACATATATACACATATATATATATTCTGAGTAATAAGATTGAAGACCATTGTTTCATATTCCTCTTATTTAGCAGCTCCACATATGTGGGGTCGAAAAGCAATCTAGGAAAAGTGTGATACAAAAGCTTGTTTTGTCGACCTCTTGAAACAGATCATTAAGCCGCTGTCCCATGCCTATTCTCTCTCTCTCTCTCTCTCTCTCTCTCTATATATATATATATATATATATAATCATGAACGCAAAAAAAAAAAAAAGTCACTGCCCCACAATCCAATGACACGATCCTTTTGGATAAATTGGCCACGACCCTTGTCGAACCAAATGCAATAACTAATCCATCGAGGAAGAGAAACAAACGCGATATATATATATATATATATATGTATATATATATATAATTCCAAAATATAGGCCATTGTATACTGATTCCGTTGTCCTAACATAACACAAGGGAGTGACATTGTGGCTCTATCCTTATCATATATACTGATTCCATTGTCCTGAACGCAGTTTCTTGTTGGAATTTCGCATGTTGCAGGTTCCTCTGTATAACCAGCACGGTTTCCCCAAGAACCAAACAGGGAGGAACGTAAACTGATTCCAAAACTGTATTGTATTGTCTGCCCATGTTTTTTTCTTTGTTTCTGTATGGCTTTCCACTATGTAAGAACTCCCCCCCCCCCCATACCGCCGCTAAGTTAGCCAATGCATGTGACTTATCAATTCTGATATATATAATCACAAACGACCATATACATTAATATCATTACCTGAAATATATATACACATATACATACATACATACATACATATGTATATATATATCGAGAAGGCAAAGAACTCATGTGAATTAGTCATATGGACATTGTGAAAGTCGAGCTTGTGCTAGTGTCTGCTGAAACCAACGAAAAAAAAAAAAAAGAGAAACGTCGTTTTATGGCGTAATATGTTACTAAAGCGGACAAATATGTATACGAAAAGAACGTTATATATATAGACTTCGATTAATAATAATAATAACAACAACAACAACAATGATAATAAATGTCTACGTATAAATCGTTGTAATCATTTAACATAGTAAAGATTACACCCTTGACAAATCACATATTATAAAAAAACATAGTAAAGATTACTGTGCATGGTGTATGGGAACCAAAGAATTCTTAGCCATTATCATTACAAATATGTCAATGTAACATTTATTTGTATATATTAGTTGAGTGTGTGTATATATATAGCCTAGCCCAATGGTAACCTCAGTTTTCGTAATGCATGTTACGAATGTAAAATCTAATCCAATAATATTGAAATCGAATTCGATTTTATTATTAAAAAAACTTGGATACAATTTTTGTAAATATATATATATATAAATTAAGTGAAATGGAATATAAAAAAATATCAATTAAACTGAATATTTTTTCAAGAAAAAACAAATTCAAATGAAATAGAACAGAATCGAAGCTTCATGTATCCATCCTACCCTAAAAATACCTTATATTAATACAAGATTGTGATAGTTGAACATGATGGTTGTCTCGTGGGGTTAACCACAGTAAAAAAGAGACGATTATTCGATAATTTTTCCCCTTAAAAGAAAAAACAACAAATCAAAACATGGAATCTTAATTATATAAATTCCACCAAAACTTAATTATCAGACAGGTTTAGTAGTGGATTGATAAAGTGCATAATTAAAATAAATGCCTAAAGATATTCTTAGAATATAATCACTCGTCTATTTACGGCTAAACATTTTTCATAACAATCTTCGTTATCTACTGGTCGAAATTCAATCACTTGATTATTTATTACAACGTGGACCGTCGAATAATCTTTTAAATTATTAATTTACTTATCTATAAATATAGAATTTGGAATTGTTCTTTTTACCCTTTGTGGATGAGTGGAGAACAAAATATTTCTTCCAGATTTCAAACATTTTCACTGGCCATCCATCTGGTTTTATATTAAAAACATAATATATGCATTAAGTGTATTCTTTTGCATGATCTTCCAATCTTAAGTCAACTATGTAACGAGTTGCTTTGAATTATCCATGAAAGCAACTCCCTCTGTGTATTTTTTTTTATGTGAAAAAAAAACCAAATTTATGAACTTTTCCCGCGGAAATGAATGTTTAAATATCAGCAATTATTAAGTGAATATATCTGAAAAATATTTTAATTTTAGTGTACTGTATAATTTTGAAACAACTATTAAACTCAATTTGAGCGGGAAAAAAACAAAATGCTATTTTCTAATTTGATTTTTTTTGGGTAATAATGTATCTTTAATCCTTTGCCCAAAACCCATTTCTTCCAGACAATTTTGACAAAATTTTGGAAAATTGCTTGAAAAATGGATCGAGTTAAATCTCGGGCTGATACAGATGGTTCTTAACGGCCCATATAAAGGCCCATGTATAAGCCCATTAATAAATTTTGCCCGTCTCTAGCTTTTGATCACTCGTTATGCAAAAGAAGATTCCAAGATTTTGTTCTCTGAGAATTTATAAACGGATTTTGGACTTTTAAGTTTGGGTCCGGTTTACGCAGCGGCCCGGTTTCCCAAACCGGTTATGGAAACTTTGAATTCAAAATTTCGGGGGGGGGGGGGCAGCAGACACAGCATATGATGCCAAAGAATGTATGGTCGAGATTATGAGAAGTATGTAATGTACACAGACGCACATATGTATATGTATATGTATTCCCACCTGTAGTGGCAGGGGTTGATGTAATAACTTTCCCGACCGTGTATATGGTGGAATCATGTTAGAACCCAAGAACTGCCTGATATATTATACGTACTTACACGCAGATTCTGAATTCAATCCCATTGAAATGTTTTTGTTCTACTTCTCCGATTGCAAATCTCTTCAAGACCGGAGATTTTTGAGTATATGATCTTACATGTGTTTCTTCCTCGATGCTTGCTTATTATTGTGCATCCAAACTTTGAACACTTGTCGTTTCACATTGATTTGCGAGCAGAATCGTTGAACTTCTTCCTCGTCTTGCTTGGTTATTCTCCAACTGATCTTGTCCGCGAACTCCTCCATCTTCTCCTTCTGTTCTTGACTAAACTTTGTCCGAGACCTCTTCCTCGGCTGCTGAAGCTGATCGATTCCAATAGCTCCCAAAGACTGATGGAACTTATTGAGATCCTCCGTCGATGACTCCGCCGGTCCTCCGCCGCCGCCGAAGCTCATCATGATCGGACACACGTGGTGGTGGTGATGGAGGAGGAGACCCGGAGGGGTTGGCTGGTGTTGTGGAGGAGGGGACACTAGGTTTCTCTGGGACCACACGTTTCCGGTGGCAACCACGCTGTAGTGTCCGTACGTGTTGAGATTCAGCGTAATCTCTCCGTCGATTTCTCTCCGGTGAAAGCTCCGGTGACAGTCGCAAGCGGCGCATCGGAGATATTCCGGCGTGCCCTCTTCGCCGGCTGCCATGAACTCACCGCAGCCGTCGACGACGTGGCCGCCGGAGCTAGCAGCATGGTTCCGTTGGCATTCTCTGTATCTCACCTGTTGCTGCTGCTGCTGATAAAGATGAGGAAAGGGTCTTGCGTATGATCTGGGAAGGGGAGACACCGGAGTTGCAGAGACCGGTTCCGGTTCCGGGTCCGAGTCCGAATCTCTGCTTGTGGGTTTGTTCTTCTCGGCGGTTTCATGGTAGATATGCGGAGGAGGAGGGCGATGGTGGTGATATAGGGTTTGGTGATCTGTTGCGGGTTTTCTTCTTCTTTCATGGTGATCAGTGGATGAAGTGCAATATCTGAAGGAGCTTGGCATCTCCATCTCCTTCTCTTTCTCTCCCACTTCCATCTCTCTCGATCGATCGATCGAATCTTTTCCTGATCTGCGAGCTTCAGCTCCTCTAATTAAACCCTAATCTTTTTAAAACCTTTTTTTTTGTGATCTTCTATGAAAACCCTAGCTATGGATGAAGGGAAAACACTAAGCTTTAAGCTTTTTAGCTTTAATCAGCAAATGATCAGCAGCCGAGCGTGAAGAAAAAATCCCATCCCACGCTTTTAAATTCTGACTCTTTGACTTTTATCTTTTTCCTGTGCAAACCCACCAAACCTACTAATTACTTTCAACTCGGCAAGCAATTGATTAAGGAAAAATCAACTGACCCATTTCGTAAGCGCCTATGCCCAGCATGAAACAATTATAAAGCACAGATCTTTACCATGAAAACCAGAGGGAAAAGCAAGAAGAAGACCCCAAGCTAGATTCCAAGTTTTAGAGAGAGAGAGAAGAGAGAGAGGGAGTTTGTCTCGCGTTTCCTGTTGCGCATCAATGTCCGGGAGAGAGAGTAGAATGCAGGAAATGGTGAAGCGAGCAAGTGGGTTTGGTCCTTAATGATCATAACACAGTCCACTAACGAACAACACGGAGAGAGAGAGAGAGAGAGAGAGAGAGAGAGAGAGAGGGAGATATATATATATATAGAGAGAGAGAGAGATATTTGCGGAGATAGAGGAGAGAGAGAGTCACGTTATTTCTCCATCACAGGCACTGAAGACTGCACATTGGTCCAAATACCGATTTCTGTGTGGTGCGGTACTGTCAACCCACACCATTACATAAAACGTATGGTCCTAAAGTATGCACTACACTATGTTGTACTCACTTTTTGATACATCTAAACATGCCTCTACGATCAAATGCCCTTAAAAATCTCATCGTATATATATATTCCGCGTCGAGAAACTACATTGGTCGGTATTTATACAAGACAGCCGCAATCTCACGTACGTACGTATACCGTAAGTGGGCATGGAATAGAACAAGTAATAATACGGATATAACAAAAGCAAAACAAGGGTCGAGGGTCGAGGGTCGAATTGTATTCCGGAATACCAAAAAAAAAACTACAGTGAACAAAAAAAAAAGGAAGAAGCTTTGTATCTGTAGTTATGAAGCAAGATTCGAAGCATAGAGCAAGAAAGGAATGAGATTCTTTCTGTGTTACAACATTATATGTTATATACACATCCCACGTTTCCAAAAAATAAATTGGACCGTCTCTGTATCATAATGCAATCGCTGGCTATATACATATATATATACATATATATATATATATGTATATATATATAGAGAGAGAGAGAGACTTTGGAAGTGAAAATAAAACAATAAAAAAAAAAAGAGGAGGAATGTGTTTTATGTCAGACGCTCACTTTTTTTTTCCTTTGTTCATTTTTTTCTTCTATTTTCTTGGATCCGTTTCCAAAGTAACATGCACATACAGTGAGTCAATGAAAATCCAATAAATGCAAAATAAATTATGTTTTCTAGTAAAATATTTAAAACATATTTTCTTTTAAAAACTCATTGAAAATATAATAAAAATAGTTTGAATAAAAAAATAAACCATAAAATCGACCAAATCTAATTAGATCCTACTTTTGACATTCGTGCTCTGTTTACATTTTAATATTTGTTTTGAAACTTGTAACTAAACTGTTAATTTGTTTTATATAAGCAGGTCAACTTTTTTTTCATATAATAAAAAAATATCAACCTCTATATTTTTTAATATCCTAGATCCTATTATACCTCCATTTTATGAGGATAGAGATTGTCGCGTTGAAGAATCTGTGTTGCATATTTTTTTAAAAATTACTTAAAAGAAGTTAAGTAAGATAGATGATGTATTAAATGTATCCGATCAACCTCTATTCATTGTATTTTTATTTTGACGAATAAAATTGATAAATTTCTCAGTAATAAAAATAAAATCAATACTCATCATTTGGTACAGTAATCGATCTAAATAAACATTGTGCGGCAGAATATATGCTTTTGTTTAAATTATCCACAATGACATTAGTTATGGAACAACTTCCGAGTAATCACGCTGTGTGGGAAGCAATTATAATATTAATATATTTTAAATAATGATTAATTTAATTTAATATTGTCTTAGCTGTGTTTCGTAGTTACTACTGTATGCATGCACCAAATACTTGCTCAGGACAACGCCACGTGGAAATATTCCGTCCTATTGTCTACCTTAATTTGACCAAAATTAAGAAAGTCTTAATTAATTGTTTCTCAAATATTGGTAAGTGGCTGTTCATATTTTGGACCTTGATTTTAGTGATACACGACATCTCGAAAATACAAAGTGAAAAAAAAGGAGAATTAAGAAAAAACTAAAATAATGATGCAGATTTTTTTTTTTATATAAAAAATGGTGTAATTTAAAACCTTTATATATATAGATCAAACAAAATTTAATTTTAAAACCGAGGCAAACGATTCATATTAAAATCATATCAATAAATGTTGACGTAATAAACGAGGGCATGGAGATTGTGGTAATCTCCTGCTTGATTTCATAAGCTTTGGATTTTCTGGTGTATCTTAACTTTAAATCGTTACTCTATATCCATCTCTATTTTCATTATCAGTTAAATGTCACATTCAATAACAAAATTTATTAATTTCGTAAAAACAAAATTTGTAAATCTCGAAAACGTTTTCTATATTATGATGATTGGTCATATTATGGTGAGTATAATTTTGGTATAATAATCAAAGTAATTAATGTATAACAACAAGTTGTATTTCGAAATATTTGTAAGTTACAGCAAATCACATTTACATTTTTTATAACTTTACTTTGGGTTTAAACCGTCAATATTTTTTATTGTTTATATTTTTGAATTTAAAACCAAATCGGAAAAATAGGAATTTACTTATTTTAGGTCTAGAATTTACCGTCTTATATTAATTTACAACCACAAACACTACGAAATAGATAAAATAAAATAAAAACAATCGAAAGTAAATCTTCCCAATATTTGTCAACAAATATTAGCAAAAGTCGATTAAGCGTGTTCAAGCTTTAAAGTAATCTTGCCGGTTTTTGTCATTTAGTGCAACAGTTAACGCATTGTGAGGGATTATATAATAAAAAAATTGTTTTAAATTTAAACATTTAAAACCCGTGCTATAAATTCAAGAAATTACAAAGTTGGTATGACTAATCGATGAATTGAGGTCAATGCTGTATCAATATCATATGAGCATTATATCAACGGAAAAATATAATATATATTTAGCTACAATTTATAAATTTAATATATTTCATGCCATATAAGGATATGGAGAGAGGATTTTGTTTTATTAAAACCGGTGAGCCGATGAGTATGAGGTCAAATCAAAACATGCATGCGTAAAAACGTGCGAATCTACATGTGATTGGGGGGCATGCGCTTTAACTCAGAAAATATCTCTTTGCCTCCAAAATTCAATCCTATATTGGGTTCCGGTTCGGTTATATTCAAATTTGATTATTTCGATTTTAAAAAATTCAGTTTCTATATTAAATCCAATTCAGTTTGGTTCGATTATGTTAAAAAAAATAAGATTTTTTTGTTATTTTTTATTCGGTTTCTTCTATTGAGATTTATTTTTAAATTTTTTTTATAATTATTTAATTTTATATCTAATTTAATTCGATTACGATTATGTGTTATTCTATTAGCTTGTTCGATTATTAACTAAATAAGTGGTCCCTCCTTTTAATCGTGCTCTTATTCATAAGTTTATAATTATCATTTTATCAAGGGTCGTGGGAAAAAAGGCGGTATAAGTTTGAGGCCCATTTGTATGAAGGCCATATAGTAAACTTAGAAAATTAATTAGCCTTTTTCAAAAAAAGCATAAACGAGGATCCAATAACGCCGGGCCAAGATTTTGTTTACATTTTGGTTACTAGCTTTATTCGGATTTAAAAATATAATTTTAAAAAAAAAGTAGTTAATTTGGACACTATGCTATCCAATCAATTTTAAAATCGTATTTATTTTGGATAACATCTTTTTTTAATCATAGGAAAACACAGAGGCAAACGAACAAGGTACGCCAGCTTATTATATGATCCGATATTGAATATATTAATAATAATAATAATAATGTATTTCGATGGATTATTATAACTTATAATATTATAATTTTATTGGACGGTCTTGTTTTCAGAGGGAACAGAGGCAAGGAATTTATTGAGATGCCGATTGTAGACGCAAGGTCTCTCCAGGTGGACCAAGTGGCCTGCTTTCTTTATACTCTCCATCGTTGCCTTCTCTCCAAGCTGTCTGAATACATTTAAATTCACCACGATCCCAAAAAAACAGTATGTATAATAACTGTAATATGATAATAAAAAAAAATCTCATATAAATACCTCTAATTTTTTAAAACGTATCAAATAAATATTTTAATTCCTGGTTTAACAATATGTTAAAATGTACTAAATTAATATACCAACTACCGAAATTGTGTCAAATTAATATTTCAACTTCTAAAATTTATGTCAATTCCCAACCAATATCCAAATCGATTTAGACGTTTTTGAACAAATGTATAAGGGTTTTGGTTGTGAATTATCTTTATTTGAACAAATGTATAAGGGTTTTGAACAAAAGTTGAGATATTAATTTGACACTTTTTAATTTTTGTGATATTATATTGTCAAATTAAAAATTAAGGTATTTATTTGATATATTTTAAAAAGTTGGGATATTTATATGATATTTTTCTATAATAAAAAGTGGTAGAAAAAGATATAACTTTCGGTTCCAAGGGAAATAAAATTACTATATGGATATATATATATATATATACTTACTCTCTCATATTTTTGGCGACTTCGAGATTAAAAATCTTGTCACCTTCGCCCCACAATAGATGTATTCTCTAACAAATAAATGTAAGTAGGCGTGTCATTGAAATAAGCTATGAGCATAAAAAATTACTGTATATGAGTTATATATACGCATACACACACGTGTGTGTGTGTATATATGTATCATATACACATATACATACATACCTGTGGGAAACGGGGAATGGTGGCGTCCTTGTTGCTGATCACCAAAGCGTCCAAGAGCTCGGCTCTTTCCTTTCTATTGGTGAACATTACCTGCAAAATTTTCAATTTTTTTTGTTAATGTTCAACTATAATAATTCATTAAATATTCCGTAAGTTATATGTTTCATTCGTTCTAAATTTAGTGATATAAAGAAAGAAAAATAGCAGTATTTATCTCATATTTTTATAAAATTTTAGGTATTTGTATATGATTTTTCTTATACAAAATAACCGTTATGGATTATTAAAATAACATATATTTTTTTTCAAATATAAATCTTGTGTAAGAACTACTCGAGCATCGACATTCAATGAAATAGGCAAAGGTTATTCACCTTAACATTGGACGATTAATTAGGCAGGGTTAGTTGAATGAACATTATATATCTAAAAATACTATATAGTTATATGAACCGACACACTTCTCGATGTAATGCTTTTTTTCCTTGGACAATGCATGTTAGGTGAACGAACAGTATCTAAATATATTTTTGTCGTTCACACACCTACCAATGATCTTTTGTATTCATATTTTCCACGTAGGAATCTACGAAATATAAGTGTTATTTTTAATCATCTATAAAAAGCTCAAGGAAAAATGAGGGAAAATATTGAATATATATATATATATATGTGTGTATATAATGCATGTAGTTTCTGCGAGTTTAGTCAGAACCACGTAAACTTTGCGAGTTCCACCTAACTTTCATTGCAATTTTATCAACACAAAAAAAAACTTTCATTGCAATCACTCTAATCAACTGAAGTGATCCCTATGATCATATAATAAGCATTTGAATCTTATAACTATAAATCCAACGATAATACAGATAAATTAAATTGTGTGCGTACGTACCTCAAGATAGTCCTTAAAGAGGCAACTCGGGAACCAAACGGGTCTATGCACAGCCATTGTGAAAAGTGCCCTAAGCCCCTTAACCGAAGTCGGTAAGAGAAGATCCGTCGACGAAGAAAACCCTAACCGGTTTAGGTTCGACTCACTGATCGTGTCGGTCATCGCCAATATCGAACCGGACACGACCATGGCTCGAACCATATCTGGATACATCTCCGCGATCTTGAACGCCACCATGCCACCGTAGCTAAACCCGACGAGGACAAACTTATCCACGCCGAGAACACCCAAAGCCTTGACCAAACACTCCGCTTGAAACGCCGGTGACCGGTCCGGGTTGTCGGAGTAGGACCCACCGAAGAAGAGTAGGTCCGGTATGTAAATCGAGTACTTCTTGGATAACGAACCCACCTGGAACTGCCACGTCACGATGCCCTCGGCGGCGAAACCGTGGATGAGTAGTACGGCCGGTTTAGCCGGTTTTTCCAGTTTCGTGACGCCGGTTTTGTCGGATTTTTTCGGTTTTTTGACAGTTTGTTTAGGGACCCAGAAATTCATTTTGGTTCCTGGTTCGATCTCTACGGTGTAGGGCGGTGTAGGGAACGACACCGGCCATTTTCATGAGACCGTACAACAATGGCTTTTGGGCTGCGACCAAGTTCACCATTGTGTTCTTCTCCCTGTTTTGTTTTTTTTTTTTTTTTTTTTTTTTATAGAGAGATATAAGTTTGAAGAGACAATAGCAAATGGAAAGGGGGATTTTAAAGATGGAGGTGAAATTTATATATATATAAAAAATACGTGTTTGGTGTTGAGTTGTTATCTTTTGTTCATCCAATTGTCTTCTCCTTTCACATTTTCACTTTTTTTGTCCGTCTAATTAGTCAAAGGTTCATGCAAATGTATATAAATACTGATGCGTTTACTTTTCTTGCAAGAAATCTCCTGAATTTGCGGCTAAGTAAGAGAGAGATTTTGGTGGGTGTAAGTAACAAATACAACGTTGTCGGACTGTGGATCACCTGCACTTCCTACTTCTGTCGGGATGTTCACACTTGTGAGTCTTGGTCATGCATTTTTGTCTTCTTAATCTTTATATTATAGCTAAATTTATTTAATTCGTGTGTGATTATGCGTCCCTTTCCACGAGACCTCGGAAGAAAAGCAGACGTAAACATAAAAATACCCGTAATCATATTTTCCTTTCGCTTTTAACCATACCGAATATTAAATGCCATAAAACGGACCGAGAGTTTGAATTTAATTAGATGATTAGAGGTGAACCGATCCGATTTGGTGTTACAACGAATATTTAGTCTACCGTAGGACTGAATCATCAAATGCCAAAAAAATAGTAACAAAGAATTCAATGTCTTTTGTATATATTGCGTTCTCGCTTTTTATCTTTTAAATTTTGTTAGAGGTTTTATGTTTCTTTTCTCAATATTTTAGATCTTAAACATATTTTTCTACCATAACATACTATATTAGACAATAAATTCTCCAATTATGAAATTAGTGTATCAAAGCACATATTAGTTGAGCCCACCCAATATGGACTATATGACCCATAACCTTCCAAGGCTAAGAAAATTGATGTATTTGAGTATTATATATAGATTTTGTACCGAAACTAACATTCCGGCTTCCGTCGATTTCGTCAGATTCCCATGGAACTTTCTTTGAACGAATGCACACAACAACACACAAGCTTTAACGTGTTCGGATCGATGTGATCCTACTCACGGCCGAGCAGGTTCTCGACAATTCACTATATCAGTTTTACAGATCTTTGAGAAACAAGAATGCGCTCAAAACCCAGAACGAATCGCAATCTCTCGACCCAAAATGAAAAATGAACCGTGCCTCTTTTTTTCTGCAGGAAACTCGAACTTATATGCAGAGGAAGAAGACGATGAACGGTGTCTAACAACCTTCTGATATCAAATGTCTTTAGTACCCTCCTCGATGAAACGCACGGTATCCACTTAAAATCTTCGGTTTGCTGTTCAATTTCCTCCTGAGTCGAACCGGACTATAATGACAGGAGGGATTAGAACCTTTTTAAAAGATTCAAGGAAAAAAAACAAACATTATGAGAAAGGATAAATATGATTCACATGTTGGAAATTATTTTATTTATTAATTTCTATAATGTAGGAAGTTTATTAATTTCCGTACCCATTATGGTGATGGTCCAATATTTACTCCATGTTCTGCTAACTGTCTTTGATAACCACTTGTTAACTGAAATCTTTTTTGATGGGAAAAAGACTATAAAGATTACGTATGATATTGAAGTCCCTAAGCCAAGTAAACATTCAGAATATACACCATCGTTATTGTGTTGCTCATGGTTTAGAAGCACCAAAGTATTCAGATTTCAACTCAATTTCAATGGCTGGAGGTATATTTTTTCCGATTCAGAATTTTATTTCTGCATTTATGATATTGTATGTTAAAGTGTTGCATATTGAAGATCATGATTTAGATGAGTTTAAAGAATTTTTAAACTTACATCCACATGCAGACGTACGAGGAGCAGCACACGAGGGGCCGAGCGACGGTCAAATTTCCGAGACACAATCTGAGCATAATACGACAAATTCCCCCCGTTTTTGTCTCCCTTTTTATATTTGTTTTATTATATACAATCTGAAATCTGTCAATTCAAATTAAATTTTAAGTCACGAGATAATCTACTTGCAGTTAAAAGACAGTAGAAATATTTTTGGGGCGTGAGATTTAAACGGGTGGTGGCTCAATGCCATCGATAATATCACATTATATAGTGTATCTATATCGAAATCAAATGAAAGGAATATCTAATAAACTCCAGAAGAAAAAGATACGGCAACATTTAAAACATATCGATTTAAATATATATACTTTGGATTTCGTAGTATTTTTCTAACAAGATTTATTCTAATGAGATTCCAAATGAAAGGACCGGCTAAAAATGTAAAAGAACATAATCTTAGAGATCTTTAAATATTATAAAGGAACCATATTTCTAAATCCCACCATCAGAAATACGTACGTCGTCCGCGTATGTGTTTATGTATGTATGAATGTAGGTATGTATCTGCATGCGTATGTATTTATGAATGTATCTGTGCAATCATGATCCTGGTCAAATTTAAGTGCAGGCACAAGGAAAGGGCTATAATACGGTATGTATCATTAACACAAAACTTTCAAAAGCTCTGAAAATAAAACATAAAGATGACAAAAAAGCTAAATAGTGTATTTTGTTTATATGTTAAAGGGTTTGACCGTGCAGAAGACTTTGGCGAAAACCAAAGCCACGTAACCGACGTCGTTTCAGTATCCCCCTGGCCCCTGTCTCTTGAGTCTTGACTAATAAAGTTGATCGGCGACGTTAAGTCTCCAAGAGAGGAAAGGAGCCGCGGTGACGTCGGAATCGCCGTCTCTGACGTCATCAATGAAGGTATATTCGCTCGTCGACGGCGAGTAATAGCTGCATGGAACTCTCTGCGTCGTCTGGTGGTGCCACGTGGACGATGAATCGTAGCAGTGATTATAACTGTAATTCGGACCTCCGTTATATGTCTGATTCCGTACTCCCGCCTCCGCCGCCGATGACCCTTCGCCGGAGTTCGATTTTCCGGCGGTTGCTCGTCTCTCTTCCTTCTTGAACCGGATTCCACACGCATTACACAGAGACTACATTGAATTTTTTTTTTTAAAAAAAACTTTCGGTGAGTAAGATGAGCCATTTTACTAACATTCAAAATAGAGCTTTACCAAAAAAACAAAAAATAGAGACAACCCATTTAATATATATAAATATATAGTATGCGTACGCATATCCAAATTCCCAAAATCGTTATAAAGTTTTTTTCTTTACTTAAGATAGTCCTTATGGTTCCTTTAACCAAAAAAAAAAAGATAATCCTTATGGTTGGTCCATATATATATATATATATATATATGGTGATTTTGTATCATATCATAAGAGTTTTTCTTACACAAAGAATACCCCATCATACCTTAGGGCCCTTTGGACCGTTCCTCCAGAGAGGAGTAGAGGTGGTGTCGCAGTTAGAACACCGGCGAGAAAGGAGGGTATCCCCGTCACGGATAACACTCCTCGGAGGTTGATGATCAGATAAATACGACGCCGTTTTACAGTCATCCCATCCAATCATGCCACTAGAAGTAGCAGAGGAACCGAACAGATGCTTGTCTTCTTGCCTGATTAGAGGGGTGGAGGAGGGTGTTGCGAGGGAGAGAGTGCAATCAACAGGAGAGCAAGAAGAAGAGCAGGGGGCGAATACGGCGTCGTTTTCGGGCGGGAATAACGCGAAGAACCTAGGGTTCTTTTCCTGGTATGAGCTCGTAGAAAATCTACCCATCCTTATGTTTTGTTTTGAATTAACCCTTCGATGAGATTCCGACAGAAGTGTTTTGAGATTTTAGGTGGTGTGTTGCTGCTGTTTTTGGTGCTGTCTTGTAGGTTTATAAGGTGGAGACAAAGGGGGAAGACGAGTCAGCAAGACAGGCAGTCCACGTTGCCTTTGTGTAATTCGAGACAGGAACGTACAAAACACACACACGTATGTCTGTATATAGACTATGTCCAATTTAATTAATAACCTGATAATCAATAACATAATCGGTTTAAATCAAATAATATTAAGTGTATTCGAATCACCCTAAATAAATAAAAAAAATCGTTTTTAGATTTATGTCGCGTTAGATATAGTTTTTAACTCCATATACATGTAAATATATAGTTTTTAACGTTATTTCATATAATGACGTGCAATCAGAGAAACCAGCTTTTGTCATATGTGCTGCAAAGGTTTTATATTAACAAGATGGACATTTTAAACTTCGACTTCGGTTCGACTTGGTTGTATCACCATTCAATTATTTCAATTTTAAAAATTTATAACTATCCGATTTTATATTAATTCAATTCGTTTCAGTTTTGTTTGGAATACAATTTTTATTAATAAAAAACAATTATTTCTAAACATACATTTTTTCGATGATTTTTTTAATTCGGTTCGGTTTAATTTGAATTCAAATTTTTTAGTTTCGAAAAACTATAACCATCTCATTTTTTTTATATTTATGTCAAACCTTATATATATATATATATCATATTCTTTCCTTGCCGACATTAATTTTGGATTCAAAATAATGGATCTCAGTTATAAAAAGTAATAGACATATATATGTGGATAATCATATGTGGTTGGAGTGGCAGAGAGATTGGTCAAAAGAGCCCCACGTGATTTAAGAGAGGTCACGGTCTTCTAAGGATCTTCCAAGCCTCTTACAGTCTCTCCAAGTAATATATACACGAATATATAAACATTTGTTAGTTTGTTTTATAATTTTCTTATTATACTTCAATTTTGTATATCTTTTTCCCCTGTCAAACAAGTTATTGTTACACAGTTCTTTGTGGGTAATTAGAAGGGGTAAAGATAAAGAAGAGATATATATATATATATATGTATGTGTATATGTGTATGTGTGTACCCTGGCGAGATACTTTGTAATGATCAAAAGCAATACGGTGTTCTTTATTTGGCTTGCCAAGAGAGACATCCCATTGATCAGTCAAACAAGTAATTTCTGACAACAAAAAAAAAGTTTAAAGAGAATAATTCAGATTGATACACTCCGTTTTACACTTTTCTTTTTTTTTTAAAGAGAAAAAGACTAGCGTGTAATATATTTCTATATTTATAAAAAAAATTAACCTGGATATTATGTATAAGAACAAACAAAAAACGAGTCTATATTATATAAAACATCATACATGTAGACAATAACATTATGTGCAAAGGATACAGTTTAGTATACAACGATCCATAAGGTGTATATATTGCCATATATATATATATATATAACGTCGCACATGAAAGAATGTAACCCATTTGAGGGTACGGACCCATTTTTTTTATTACCTTGTCAAATTAGGGTTTTGTACCCAGTAAAGTTGTTTAAAAAAATTTATATATTATCACCATTATTTATATATAAATATGTACGAAGTATTAATGACAGTCTTGGATACGAAACAAAATTGTTATAGACCAATTAAATTTAGTGGATATTTGAATGTCTGAAAAGAGTACAGTGGAGTATATATATGTCCCTTGAAATTAATATATAGAAATTGGTGGCTGTAGACAAATTGAAAAATATAGTTGTATTGTGATGGTGGTATATATGCCGCCAAAGATAACATACCAAAAATAAAAACGAGAGAGAGAGAGAGAGAGAGAGAGAGAGAGAGAGAGAGAGAGAGAGAGAGAGAGGAACAAGGAGAATCAGATCGGTCTTGAGATTGGGGAAGTCTTTGTTCAATTCGACTAATGGAAGAAAACGACGACAACCGCTTTCCCAAAAAGATGCCCCTCTCTTTGTTTTTGCGGAACTCGAAACCTAAACTGCGGTTAACCCAACGCACTCCACTGACTGTTGGTTTTCGCCATTAACGTTACATATATGTGATCTGTCTCACGTGATATTTAATCTTGTTATCCATTCTTACGATTTTTTTTTATGTATACATTTTCTATTAGATATTATCGAATGTTTATATAATTAATTATATAATTTTTTTATTACTATATCTTTTTTTATAATAAAGAAGTTCACTAGTCCTTCGATCCACTTAATTTTATAGATCCAAAATTATTTTTTAGTCACGTAATTAATTGTTCCCTCTTCTCCGAATCGAATCCAAAACTTTGAAGATAGATTTTTTGTCATCTTTCAACCACTAGACCACCAACTATTGAATCTTATAACCATATTTTTTTAAGTATATATATAAATATAAAGGAGATCAAATTATATCATATCAAATCCTTATAACTATATCTTTTTAATATTATATATTAATTATTATCCGTGGAATAAACATATTCTTTTGATTTTCACGATCATGGACATGTTTGCTCTAGTTCGTATAATTTGTTATACTAAATAACATATCATCATTTGGATCATTTCATACTATAAGTTGGTATCTTTCTCAAATTCACACCTCGTCATTTTTTTTTTCGTTTTCAGATAAATATGCTTCTAGACTTTTATTTTTGTTATAAATTATATGATTTTACAGTGAGTATATTTTTCGTTCCTCATATAACACTACGGTAATGCAACTTAAAGAAACCATTCTTATTAGATTGATGATTATGCAATGCTTATCTGTAATATATATCAAGAGGTGCCACGTGGACGTACGTCGTGCATGCATGCAAGCAAGAGCAAGTGTGATGACCAAGGCAATGCACTTAGTTAATCATCGTTCTACCACCGCCAACACATGAGCTTTTGGAATCGAATCCAAAACTTGGAGAGAGAGAGAGAGAATGAGAATGAAGGAAAAACAAAAAAGGGGAAGACATTCCTCGAACAAAAGCAACAAGATCCAAGTGGGGATGTCTTTTCTTTTCACTGAGTGTTCTGTCCCCCAATAGCTTTGACCATTTATCTTTTTGATAACGTCGGTCGACTCCTTTGGTAGTTGTTGATATGATGTTTGCTCTATCAGTATTTTTTTTTTGTTACTGTTGTTACTTTATTTTAAAGCAAGTCCTATATTTATTTTTTTTTTAAAATATTTATTTATTTTTATCCATGTATTGGGATGAAGTCACAGAAAAGAAAAGCTAGGGTTATCTTTGATGGCCCAATATCGTCATATTGTATATGTATATGTATATTATTTTCGGTAGATGAAACCCTACGCGCACACATTAGGCGCGTTAGTGGTTGAGAAAAATAATTATTTATCAAGACATAATATTTGAAACATAAGACGAATTGTAAAAACAAGAAAAACCCTGTTCAGTGATTCGAACAATTATGAGAAATAATCAAAATTTATTTTTTACGAGGAAACGTATAAATATTAATTTTGTATTACCAGAAACCTTCCCATTGTAGTATTTTTAGAAACCAGGTTCTTTTGATTACTTGGAAATTAGAGCTTCATTAGAAAATTGTAATAACTTAAAATTTAGAAACTTCATTACCCATTAAAAGCACTAATGGGCCGGTTTTGGGCTTCAAATAAGAGTTCAGTGCTAAAACATCGTGCCGTTCATCGTCACTAAAACGTCAACCACTTCGGAGGGGGAAAAGCATTAACAACTAACAAGCACCACGTCAGTCTCGTCT